TGCTTTCTATCTCTCATTCTCTCTCTCTCTGAAATAAATAAATAAAATTAAAAAAAAAAAAAGATACCTGTCTCCTCCCTCTTTTCTTAGCTTTCCCAAATATGGAGCTTCACGTTCTCACTGTTAAAAACCCCAGACAGGGGTTACGGTTAATATATAATGTATCTCCTCCATAGCAGGATATGGATTTTAAAAGTCTAGACCCACAAGTTAAATACTTCATAGATATCAAAACATTAAACACATTTCTATTAAAAATATGACATCTCAATAAGAAAAGTCTTTGGATATAAAGCCCTAAGTCCTTGATTGTGAAGTCTACTTTTATTGTCTATTAAGGATCTCACCATGAAGTGTAATGAAGAGGAAAAATCTCTTAGCCCTGAGGCCTTTTCTAAGGTTTCGTTGACCAATTTACGTAGGTCTGCAGTCCCAGATCTTTCTTCAGACCTTGGCATGAACATTTTTAAGAAGGTGAGTAGAACCACTTATGCTCTTTAATATTTTGGTAACTGCAAAAATCAGTAGGACATGAGGTCATGCTGCAGAATGGGGTGGGTTGGGAAAGAAACCTTGAGGAGAGAGGTCAGCCCCCACTTAGAGCACTGGCTTGCAGCATGACCTTGTGCGAGTCCCTCTGTGCACATGAATGTTTCCCATTCTCAATGTTACCAAGCTCAATCCCGATGATGTGGGTAGAGTGCTTACAGTAGTGTGGTAGTGGAGGTAGTTGTGGTAGCCGTGATGGCGACTTATATTCGTATGGTTCATTTCATTTTATCAAGCATTTTGTATAAATGGTTCTCATTTAATCCAATGAGATCCTAAATTTCCACATTTTGCACCTAAGAAACTGAGTCTTACTGAAGTCTTACTCAGAATGATGGGATCATCATGGAATATTTATTCTTGAAGTCATCTCCAATTTAAAGACAACAAAACAAACAAAACTCTGTAAATAAAGTAGTAAATCCTTACAACAAATCACTAGATTTCCTACCCTCACAACTTGTTATAGGTCTTAGCATAGGTTTCCATTCAATAAACATTTATTATGTATCCACTAGAACTCTAAAGATGAGAAATTAAAGGTGGAGTCGAGTGTGCACTTAGGAGTCACCTAATCAGGGTTCAAATTCTTGCCCTGCCACTTGTAACCTCTGCCATCCTGGTCAAATGATACTAGGTATCAGTCTCTTCATTTGTAAATTGGGTACATAATATACTTACTTCAAAAGATTATGAGGATTAAGTGAGATAATGCAAGTAAAGTCCTTACTGTGCCTGGCACTTAGTAAGTATTCAATAAATGTTAACTATTCTCAAGAAAGAAAGGAGCTGAGCCTTAGAAATTCTGGTAGTTTGTGAAAACTAGGTCTTGTTCAAGCTAGTTCATGCTTTTATGAATCCACCATTCCACCTCTCTTTTTGTAAATATATGGAGCAAACCAGCTAGGAAATAATATGTGTAGAATAATGTATGTGTAGTGGCTTCATTTTCTATTTTTCAAAATGATTAGTTCAGTTGTGTTTGTGAAGGACACAGAGCATATTGTTAACTTATCTATGAGCTCAGAGTGTTGCTATGCAAGCAGTCATGTATACCTTCATTGCTAATGTAATGATAGGCAAGGGCTGTAGTTTTTCTAAAAATGTCAATCATCCGGGGGGAATATGTTTTCAGTACAGACTACACGTGAGAATCTCTGGGGAGCCATAAAAACTTCATGTGCCCAGGCCTGAACCCAAACAAATTAGGTCAGAATTGCCGCAGGTTAGGCCCAGACATTGGTATATTTTAAAAGCTTCCCAAGAAATTCTAAACTCTTATTTATACTGGATTTTGAACTTGTTTGGTAGGAGTAATGGGTTTGTACCAATTCATGCTTTGTATCTTTTTTGACTCTCCTTATGGACAGTGGCACACACTTGAAGTCGTCTGGCTGGAAAAATTGATCTCAATCCTGGAAAAATGGAACAGAAAATACTGGCTGGTCCAAGGGGTGACTCTAGGATCCTATACTCTACCTCATGATTCTCAAATTTTAACATTTATCAGAATCACCTACAGGGCTTATTAAAACACATACTGCTGGGCCTTATCTTCTAGGTTTCTGATCTAGTGTGTCTGCGGTTGAACCTGAGAATTTGTATATCTAATAGTTTCCCCGTTGATACTGATGCCGCTGGTCCAGGGACAACCCAACCCAGCAGAAAGACCCAGGGAATATGTTACCTTTTGCTTTGTTTCTTTCACTCTTTTAAGGCATTATGGAAATTTCACCCATCTCTATTGAGTGATACTCGTTGACTTTCTGGGTCTCTGCTTCCTGGAACATTTCTGTATTTTACTGCAGATTATGGAGCCCTTTGGGAAGTAGAATGTCACCTCTCCTTTGGCCTGTGCCTAACCCTTTACCTCTCATCCTCATAGTTCAAGAGCCGCAAAGAAGACCGGGAGAGGAAAGGCTCCATCCCATTCCACCACACAGGGAAGAGGAGGCCTCGAAGAATGGGAGTGCCATTCCTACTTCACGAGGACCACCTGGATGTGTCCCCCACCAGAAGCACATTCTCCTTCGGAAGTTTCTCTGGGCTTGGAGAAGACAGGCGAGGCATTGAAAAAGGAGGCTGGCAAACCACCATTTTAGGTGACAACAAGGACTTTTCAAAGTAGGGCAGAGCTTGAGTGACCTGTTTAGAAATCTGGATCTAGGCCTCCGGGGCAAATCTGCATCTTTCTTGAACAGTTTAGTCAAGAAATGTGGGCCCAGATGCTAGCTTCTAGTACCAAAGGAATGCAGATAATTTAATTAAAAATGGAAGAACCCTGTAATTAGGCAGGTAATGGCCCTATTTCTTAAGGACTCTAGATGTGGAAATGTGGCCTTAAATGATCTTGTGCATTAGCTTTCATTGTGAATCCAAAGGCAGACTTTAATTTGCATATTAGAAAAGGAAGATGTAAAGAAAAGAAAAAGAAGCTTTTTTTTTTTTTTTCCTTTCTGGATGGCATGTTAAGAAAGCCAGCTTAAAATCAGAAACTGACAGCTAACTGGGATTCCATTTATGGTTTTTGACATTTGGCTTAGATTGGGGCTGATCTTTTTTTTTTTTTAAGATTTTATGTATTCATTTGAGACACAGAAATACAGAGAGAGAGAGATCATGAGCAGGGAGAGAGGCAGAGGGAGAGGGAGAAGCAAGCTCCCCGCTGAGCCAGGAGCCCGATGTGGGGCTCAATCCCAGGACCCTGGGATCATGACCTGAGCCAAAGGCAGACACTTAACCATCTGAGCCACCCAGGTGCCCCAGATTGGGGCTGATCTTATAACAGGCAGCTTCATCCATCATCTTGACCCTGACTATTCCGAGAATAAATCCAATGCCTGCTACTTGGCTGTGCCTCATGCACTTCCTAATGACCCTTTACTCTCCCTGCCGTCCTTTGGAAAGACAACATCTCAGCAGAGATTCTTTCATTTTTAAACCCTCTTGTGGTGCTCTTGTCCATCTCAGGGAAATTTACCCGGCGGGGCAGTTCGGATGCAGCCACAGAGATGGAGAGCCTGAGTGCCAGGCACTCACACTCCCACCACACCCTGGTGAGTGACCTGCCAGATCACTCCAACAGCCACGGAGAAAACACCGTCAAGGAAGGTGGGTCGGAGGCTGCACCTGCAGGCGGGAGTTCAGGTTCCTTTTCCTGTTTCCTGTTTTTACTCCATGTTCCATCTTCATTGCAATCTGGCTCCTTGTACTTTTTAAAAACTTGCATTCATGTATTACATTGCTGGGTAATTTACTTGTGAGCCATTCTTGGGATTTTCCTAGTAGCAAAAGCTATCTGATGGCACACTGCAAACACCATACCTCTCAGAGGTGAAGCAAGCCACTCATCTTTGTTTTCAAAAGGTCACAGACCCACGGGGCTAGAAGAGACTCGGAAGACAGTTACATTCAGTACTTTGGTCCCCTGTATGATGTCCCTTGAAAGGGCTTGTCCACCTTCAATGGGAGGAAAGTCACTACCTTCCAGGGCTCTGGGTTCTTTTTTCAGACAGCTGCTATTTCAAATATGTGCCTTGTATGCTTTATGTGGAGAAAACATGTGTGTCTGGGTGGAATCTGAAATGGGCTCTTATTCTGTACTCTTAACCTACGGGTAGAAATCTAAGCCCTCTTTTCCCCGGAGTATGTTTCAAGTATTTGATGATATCAGTTAGTTACCAACACAAATTTATGTTCTATTACTCTTGAACAAAGGAGAAAAAAGTCCTCCTTATTTGCTGTTGCTTAAATATGCTGGATAAAACCAAATATTTTACCAGCCACAAACTAGTGGGGAAGTATTTCAACTAAACCAATGCTAAAATCATTAGCCAATCCTGAATATGCATAGATCCTACTGTATCAGTAGGATCTGCCATGTTAAGACTGGGTAAAATCCACCAGTTGCAGTTAAACTCTAGCCTGGGTCTTAAGGAAGCCAGTTGGAATTCACATTTTCTATAATCTTCATTATTTACCAGATGTTACATGGCCTTGATGCTTGAGGCAATTCCGTGTGAATTGAGAATAACTTTGAGATTACAAGTCAAACATCTACAACAGCCTCAGCTGTGATTGTGGTCAGGAGAGTGTAACTGTCTGACACGATGTCGCTAGCTAATATGGGGAAAATTAAGACACTGCTTTCTTTCTATTAGTGCGATCCCAGATCTCCACAATCACAGTTGCAACCTTCAACACTACCCTGGCATCGTTCAACGTAGGCTATGCAGACTTTTTCAGTGAGCATATGAGGAAGCTCTGCAACCAGGTGCCTATCCCAGAGATGCCACATGAACCCCTCGCATGTGCGAACCTGCCCCGAAGCCTCACAGACTCCTGCATAAACTACAGCTACTTAGAGGACACAGAGCATATTGATGGGACCAATAACTTTGTCCACAAGAATGGCATGCTAGATCTTTCGGTAAGAAGCAAGAATTTCTCTTACCAAAGCTTGGAAGATAATGACTCTTTGATCTAGTTTTTATACTGCTATAAAATGGGCATATAGATTCTTAGCAGTGTTGAACCTTAAAATGAAAAGGCTACCCATATAAAAAAATTTCACAAATGTGTCAACCATCACAGAGGCACCTTTCCCTTTTTATTTTTTTTTCAAGCATTACATGAGATGTGATCTGATCTCAGAATATTTTTATAATCCAAAAACATTATCACATCCTGGATATGCATATATAAAATATACATAAATGTGTATGTGCTAAGTCCCTTTTTTCTAGAATAAGAGTAAAAAGTTCTCAGTTTGTTTTCTTTCATTATATAAGCAACATGACTGCAAACCTCCTGGGTAGCAAGGGAAAATGAATAGAAGCCCATTAAAAGATTTAAACTTGCCTTCTCAAGAACGCCTGTCTTGATTATAGTTATTAGCAAATGAAAGGGTTGTTATAGTTTACAATTATAGTTCACAAAATTTTTTATTTCACAGTAGAAAACGGGCTCGGCAAATAATTTAAAATATTAAAATCTATGAAAAGACATAATTTAAACATGCAAATATTTTGCATTTAAAATTGAAGTGTAAATAATGATACAATTGTGAATGCCTAAATGTTCCTCTATCATGTGGATATGGAAATCATTGTTCTTTATCCATTATTGACAGACAGTGAAAGGCAGAGGAGTAAAGCACTTTGATTTAAAAAATCAGTTGAACAGGTTTCCTTTTGAATGAAAAATTATGGTCCCATTAATTCACTTTTCTTCAGTATCCCTATTAACTGTCTGTGTTATGGCAGGTTTTGGAATACTTAAGTGAGATAATACACACATACATTTTTTTTCACACATACATTTTAAGTCTTTGGGTGACTTATACTCTATGTTAAGCACATACACAAGGTCCCAGTGCGATTTAAATAGGTACACTTGAAAATTACCTGAATTATTTATGCTTAAGTACACAGAACAGCCTAAAGGAAATGGGTTAAACAGAATAACCAAATCTATGTAGGAAGAGGTAGTTCAGGCAAATTTATCACCCTCTGTTCGTCTCTGTCTTCCTCCCATCCCCAGGTGGTTCTGAAGGCTGTTTATCTTGTCCTGAATCATGATATCAGTTCTCGCATCTGTGATGTGGCACTAAACATTGTTGAATGCTTGCTTCAACTTGGTGTGGTGCCTTGTGTAGAAAAGAACAGAAAGAAGAGTGAAAACAAGGAAAATGAGACTATGGAAAAAAGAGCCAGTGAGGGGACCTTCCAGTTCAAGGGAAGCTCACCCTGTGGATTCGGGGGCCCTTCGGTTAGTGGAGCTGGAGATGGTGGAGGAGACGGAGGAGGAGGTGGAGATGGAGGAGGTGGAGGAGGTGACGGAGGAGGAGGTGGAGGAGGCGGAGGTGGACCTTATGAGAAGAATGATAAGAACCAAGAGAAGGTATGACTGAGCCACCTTCTGTGTTCTCATGAAATGTTGCCCCTAATTTCTTTCCAGTGCCTGCTTGCCAGGAATTTGTTGACTCAGAATCACAACTAGTCACTGAAGAAAGTCACGAGCCTAGAAATCTCTTCGGTGGGTTCTCCCCAGGCATTAGTAAAAACGGCTAGATGAAACGGTATTCTCAATTCAAAAACCACTGACATTCAAGCAGTGTTGGAGTTAATTTCCTGGTCATGTTATTTCTTCAGGGTAGTATCTCGGTTACACTACATTACCATCACTCTCAGTCTGCCAAGAATAGCCTCTTTCTCAAGATTTTCAGGGTCTGACCAAATTGAGCAATGTTTTCTTCTCAGAGTGCCGTAACAAAATACCATAGATCAGGTGGATTAAACAACAGAAATTCACTTCTCACATTTCTGGAGGCTGGGAAGTCCAAGATGAAGGTGACAGCGAGGCTTCTGAAGCTTCTTCTTTTGGGTTGTCGGTGTCTGCCATCTTGCTGTGTGCTCGCATGGCCTCTTTTTTCTGTATACACGCGCACACACACACACACGGAAGGAGAGAGAGAGTTCTCTTGGTGTGTCTTTTTATAAGGATACTGATCTTATCAGACTAGGGCCCCACTCTCATGACCTCATCTAATCCTAATTACCTCCCAAAGGCCATATCTTCAAACACCATCACACTGGAGGTTAAAGCTTCAACATACGAATTTGGGGGAAACATATTCAGTCCATAACAAGCAGTGTAATTTTTCCTCAAGATAATGTTTTTTCTCTTGATGTAAGGAACACATTTTTGGACAGCCAATTTCAATCACTATTGAGGAAAGGGAAGAATTTTGTTCAGTTAATTGGTTGGTTTATTGGTGTTGCTTTCAAAGACTAGCCTGGGTGCCCTCATGTTTCAGTGTTTCACATCTTATTTTTAGCTTTCTTATTATTGATTATTCCTGAATTTAATTCCCTTTGCCTTGGCAACACCTCATTTATGATCTCTGCACTCAATGCCAAAAATTAGTTTTTTCCTTTCATTTGGGTTTTAAATAAGAATTACCATAGTCTGGGGCTCCCGGGTGGCTCAGTCAGCTAAGCGTCCTACTCTTAATTTCATCAGGTCTTGGTCTCCAGGTTGTGAATTCAAGCCCTGCATTGGGCTCCACGGTGCCATGGTGGGCATGGAGCCTACTTAAAAAAGAAAAAGAAAAAAGATTAAATTCACATAACTTACACTGATTTCAGTTCAGGGCTTTTGTTGGAAAATGCTGTTAACAAGTTGAAATTAACAGAAGATTTGAATCTCTGACAGGTCATGATGTACGCATCAGGTCAGGTGTTTATAGGTGTAAGATGACACGGTACAGAGTTCTACGATCTACATACTTATCTAAACTATGAATTGTCCATCTTAATAAGTGTTGTGGTGCTCCTTCCTCTTATAATTTCTTCTCCATCTCTTTCTAGTCCTACTTGATCCATTTTTGACGTGCATTTATCATCTGTGTTTCTTCATCTCATTGTCTACTATCTTCCTAATATTTTGGGTCTCTGATCCAAATATTCTTTTCCAATATTCTTGGGTTCCTGAACCCTTTCTTTAAGATTTTCTTCCTCTGCCTTAATCATAAATGTATATATTCCAATTCTTTTTTTAAAAAGATTTTATTTATTTATTTGTCAGAGAGAGAGAGAGCACAAGCAGGGAGAGCAGTGGGCAAAGGGAGAAGCAGGCTCCCCGCTGAGCAGGGAGCCCAGATGAGGGACTTGATCCCAGGACTCCAGGATCATGACCTGAGCCAAAGGCAGACGCTTAACCAGCTGAGCCACCTAGGCATCCCGCGTGTATTTTCCAATTCTGACAGTATCTTCCAGTACTTAAGGTTCCCAACTTCTTACCTCCTCATACATCACTGAGGATAATCCAAAATTCCTCAGAATTTACTCTAACTAAATTTCCATGTTTTATCTACCAACCTAAGCTGGCTACTCAAAGAAATAATAGATGGTATTATATCCATTATACTATTCAAGGGAAAATAGAAAGAAAAAAATAAGAGTTGTGAAATTTTGATAGGTTTTTATTAGTAAAGCTTAGATATTCCAACTAAATTAAAGGGGGCTTTGTCATGTATCTTAAGAAATTCTGAGGTTTATTATAGTATTATATTTTTTGAGTTCTAAAATTTTATCCAATTGGTATCTGCATATGATTTCTTATTGTTGACCTGCAAGTCTCTTGCCTATTTAAAATATAATTATTATACTAGATAATATAACCATTATTTTGACTGAAGTTATCACTCTTAATTAGATGGAATTTCTTGAAGTCAGATTATGTGGTCTCCAAAACAGCAACCAAGATGTCAGTGTTTTGTAGTTAGTTCTGAAAAATAATATTCTTTGTAAGACAAAGAATTTATAAAATAAAACCTAACCATAGGTTAAGTGCATGTATTTGTGATTTATACAGGTCTGTTCTGCCCAAAATCTCTGTTATTTTCAGTGAAATCAAGAGAGTTTATCTAATTTTACAATCTAGTAATACCAGAAGCATGGGAAATTTATTCAGAAAGGAAGATCTAATTTCTATTTCTATAGATGCTACTAACTAATACTGAGAGCTTGAAATGTTATTTAATATCTGTCCTGATTTCTGCCTGTAGCTTGGTACATTTTTCTGAATGTCTCCTACTAGAGGAAACTAAATCCTAAGGACATCTGAAGATGTAAAGAAAATCAAACCTGAATAGATATTTACCAAGAGCTTTTGTAGCTACGGATTTTTTTTTTTTTTTAAGGAACATATAGTAATCTAAAAATGGACGTAAGCCAGTCCTCCAAATCAGGCCCTACCCAGGGTGAACTTTTCTGAGGCACTACTTACTGCCTTTGGCTGTGTAGTCTGTGCACCACACAAGGGCTCATGGCTAAGTCAGGACCAAGAAGGACTGAAATCCAGTCCAAGCTCTGCTCACTGAGCTGTCCAACCAAGTGCTGCATCTACTAAAAGGACTCATCTTTTTCTAACTCATCCACCCACAGGAATGCATTTTCTAATTTGCACAAAGTTGCCTCAAAGGAGAGTAGTGTCCCACACCTAGAAATAATAACTAACATTTGTTTTGCTGTTATTGTATGTCTTACGTGTTTCGACTCGTGTTAGCCTCACTGCTGTATGATATAGGTATTATTATGATTCCCATTTCGTATGAAATGGAGTGGTTAAGTGGCTGGCCCAAGGTTATGGAGCTAAGATTTGCATCCAAACTAAAACATTTCTGAATTGGTATATATATATATAATAAATAAGTAAATAAATGTTTATTGGTAAGTCTGAGTCTTTCATTTGCAACCATTCAATCTATAGAGTTCCCAGGAAACAGACTTAGATGTGGAGATGTGTGTGCAGGAAGTTTCCTGGGATGTCCTCTCAGGATCAACATCTATGAGGTGTAAAAGAAGCAGGATGAGATAGAGGGAGCAGTCGAACTGCAACTTGTAACAGAGAACTCAGACAATCACACAGGGACCTCTAAAGTGAGGATGATTCTTCAAAGGAATCTCCAAGTGGAGGAAGGGAGCCCACCTGTATACCCCCCACCCTCATTATGCCTTTGACCAGCCACTGGAGGCAGACTGCTACCAAGAAGAGCATTAACCTTAGGTGAGGCAGCTGTCCTTTAGCTAAGAGCAATGGCAGGATAGGATCTCCCTAGAGAGCTGTCAGCCAGCAACACTTCCAAGCTCAGAGAATGTTCGGTTCTGCATGGAGCATCTCAGCACTGCATCCACTACATGAGCCTGGAGATTAGAAAAGAAGGAGCAACTGCATAACTTTAGGGGAGTGGAGTCTACCCCACATTATGGATGATGTCTAGATAACTCCATCTCTTTCATACCCTACCCACATTGGAGTACTTTCAATGTGTGACCTCATCGTTTGCATAGCCACCTGATCCACATGACAATGGAAAAGCCCTTCACCATTTACAGAACAATGCTTATCCATTATTTCCTTTGTTCTGCGCAGTAAACCCATGTAGAAAGGGAAATTATTAGGATCCTTCTGCCTCTTTGGAGATAATTCACAGAAGTTTTCTGGAAGCTGCATCTTCCACTAACAACAAGGATTAAATGGGGCAAAAGAGATATGATAACCATTCTCATTATTCGTCTCAGGAGGGCTTCCTATTTACCCTCAAAGGAAGAAACAAGCTGAATGTTGACAAATTTCTTTATATTCTCACTTTGCTGGTGCGTGAGTATTACAATGCAGTGAAAATGTAAAATCAGAAAGTCCCTTAAAAATGTCAGAAGTTGCCATGTGATTTCAAAGTTCCAGACTTTGATCAGTTCCAGAAATTTAGCAATAATCATTGCCTGGTGGTACTCTCAGAAGCCTGATAATGAGGGTAGCTTCTGGGAAAATCTATTTGCCTTCATCACTGATAGTCCCCATTGTCTCTCTGGGTGGTTCTGATAGTCTGCCGAGGATACAGAAAGCATGTTTTCTAATCAAGAGGTATACATTCATATCCTTTAGCACTAGAGGGTGATCAAAATGCACATTTTTCTTTCTTTTAAAAGGCATTCTGGATTTTAGAAAGGTTAACTTGCTTGTTGAGCCCTTGGCAATTCTGTTTTTCAAGTTGTACGTGCTCACCATGAAACATAAAACTTGGTTTAATCACAGAATGGAATGTCAGTACCAAAAGGGCTTTGTGACTTTTCTAGGATGAAAGTACACCTGTAAGCAACCATAGGCTTGCTCTTACCATGCTCATCAAAATAGTGAAGTCTCTGGGATGTGCCTATGGTTGCGGAGAAGGACATCGAGGGCTCTCTGGAGATCGTCTGAGACACCAGGTATTCCGAGAGAATGTAAGAGAATTACAGTAGATTCCATTTCCTCTCCCTCTTCCCTGCCTCCAATTTAGGAATGAGTCCTTTGACAATGAGGGTCAGTGTTCCCTGAAAAGTATTGTATTTCATAGGAATGATTAATGCTGATTTGGAGTGGGAAGAGTCCCACAACAATATCTCAAGACCTCAAAAACCCAGGCCTAGGAAAGCTTAATTGGCAGAAAACGCTTCTGCCTTCTGCCTAGGGCAGGCCAACTCCCAGTTGGTGAAAGGGTGTATAACTGGAATGTGTGAATTAGAGTTTGAAAGACCTTTGCAAAGATGAATATATTTAACAAGCCTCTGATGGGCTGTGACAAATGACTTTTTAATCATCTGCCTGGGTACTATAGAAACATATTTTACATTAAAGAATGGGGTCCAAGTTTAGGACTTAGTTTGTCATTCTTACATAGACATGGAAAATGGCCCTTATTGGGACAAAACAGGACTATGAAAGTAGCCCGTTACTTTCTGGCTGCTTTGTTTGAGAATGAGCCTTGACTCCTGTGTATTTGAGATCACGTCCCTTTGAACTGTGTGAAACTTGAAACTCTGCGCTTGGGCTTGCGAAACATAATTCTGTCATGGAACAGGGTCTTATTCCAGCTCATTTTCATTTGCCTGAGCTGATTGCTACTTTTGCCTTCACTCTTGAGCAATAACCCACCTCCATAGCAAGTCCACGCTGGGACAGTTGCCTCATACATGCATTTGAATTGAACTCATAAGAAAATACCCTCCTGAAAATAAGGGTTTTGTGCAAATTTGAGTCCAGGAAACCCTTTGGCATATGACGGCAGAGTTTTAGGATCATGTCAACATCTAATGCCAACCCATTTTTTCCTTGGTATTAGTTTTTGTCATGAAATGTTCACACAGTACTAGCATGCTGGGTTTCTTTCTTAATTTCTCATCTATCCATCTACCCATCCTTGTCTCTTTTATACTCTTTATGTTGTATTATATTCATAGATTGTATGGGGGGGTTATATTCACAGTAATTAACTTCTAAATTATGCAACGTGACCACTTTGACCAAGATCTAGATTTTGAGGCCCCAAATTTAAAAATCAAAATAATAATAAGGCAATAGAAAGCTGACATTGGCCTATCTTTGAGCATGTGTATGTGATCTTTATTGTTTGATTTTTAATTCTATCACAGTATGAATAAATGCCTCATGACGAAAACATTATCACTCCTCATACAGAAGACCAATTCCATGAAATGACACATTAAATATAATAAGTGTCATGCTTTAGCTGGAGGTATAAACCGAATCTGACACCAGATCCTGTCTTTCTAGACTTGGAGAAAATAGGACTGGTTGGATCAGAAGCCACTTGAGAGACCATATGCTGTTTAGTAGTCCACCATGCTTTCCTCATGAGGCTACTGAACATTTCCTATCAGGCTGTCCAGACAGTTTTTTACCTGCCTTCTCAGCTTTCCTGACTTACAGGGCAACTCTTCCATTCTCTTGTAGACCAGTTTAATACTCATTATAGGGATTATATTTGCCTCTTCTTGCTCAGCAAACACATTGTCCAAGAGATGCAAAGTTGCAACATTATCCCTGGGAAAGTCTAATTCAAGAAGCTGGGTCTTCACAAATTTCCAAAACACTGAATTTTCAGAAGTTACTTAACTTTTAAGATGTTACGAATATTTCTTACTTCTACCAGATCAGGGCCTCTGTACGTGCAGGAAGGAAGGAAGGGAGGGAGGAAAAGAGAACGAGAGAGAAAGAGGGAGGGAGAGAGGAAGGAAGGAAGAAATAGATTACTTTAATGATATACATCAAAATGCCTAATAATTCCAACATGTGTTTTTTAGGTTAATCATTTGCTGGTGGTCCCGAACTATTGAAAGGGAATTCATTCTGACAGTTTTAGATCTCTTGGAGAAGTTCAGAATATTCATTCAGAATCCAAATACTTGAGCCTCCCTCTAAAGAGTAGATTTGAAGCAATGCTGTCTTCCATGTGTTTTGTAGAGAAGATAGGATAATTTGTGCTTCAGGGCTTTCCAACCCAGAATTTTAAAGTGCTTCATAAGTATAGCAATAAGATCTTTGCAAATTCTTTATGGGATAATGATTAAATACTTCTTCATGCAGGAAGTATTCTATGTAAATGCTTTGAAAACATAATTTTATAGCAAGCAGCACTTATTTTGTAAGGGGAAAAAATGAGATCTAGCAACCAGTAACCTCTCTGGAATAAAAATACCCAATTTCTCTATATTCTAGGACCTGGTAAAGGGAGAATGAAAACAATTTTCAATTCACCTGACTTTGGGATACAGATGGGGGGATTACAGCAAGGTCAACCCGAGAAGTTTATTGCTCGTTCCAAGTTTCAGCCTTTGAAAAATCTTTCTATTTCCTCTCAAATTTTTTCCAGAATCTTTCTCTGGGCCTTGATTTGTTGAAGTAGTGATATAACTTAACTTTTCTTCTGGGAAACCATTAAGGGCCTACCTTGTAAGTTTGAATTTTTAGGGATTGCTTTTTCCAATTTTACTTCCATGATTGTGCCTGGTTGTCCAAAGTTTTCCATCCTCAATTAAGGTCTTCCTCACCCAGTCTTCTCCCTTTCCTTGATCCTTAGCCTTTTCCCTCAACCTAGAGTGTTCTCCTGTTATTTCCCCATTTCATTCCTTTGTCATGGACTTCCTTATATCTCTTACACAGAATGTGTCTTCAAGATACCAACTAATCTCTATTCATCCATCATCATAAATTCTTTTTGAAAGGGAATTCATTCTGACCACCCATTGAAGGTGGGTGGTATCTAAATATGTTTGCCCCAGTCATTGTCTGGATTCTTCATAGGACTACTGGATCATAAGAGAAATAACCACAATAAAGGGCAAGACTCTGACTCCTAATTTTGGCTCTGCTGTGAACCGTGTCAACTCGGACAAAGTCCTCGACTTCTGTGAGCCTCAGCTTCCTCCATTGTAGTATTGGGAGGCTCATCAAATCACAGAGGTGTGAAAGTTAAAGGTTGTTATGCACTTACAAGCAAGAAACGCATTTTAAACAGCAAAGCACTGCACACATGTGATTTTTCTCTTCATGGTAGGAGAGGGCTGGGAGGCTTTGAATGACACCAGATAGTATCTGCACATTCTGTCTGTGGCCTTCTGCAGCCAATGGCTTCCTTTGTTTGTTTGTTCTGATGGTGGAATTATTCCCTTTCCCTTTGCCAGATGGCGGAATTATTTGCTGTATCATATGAAATATAATTTTGAGTATTAAGGTCTAGCCAATGGTTTCTTGGTTTTCATATCTATAAGGCCAATTTCTATTAACTATCAAACTTTTACATTCAAATGCAGACACATAAATGAACAAACTAGACCTGCCTTTGTTTTTTGCTCCCTCCCTGCTTCAAGGATCTTCCCTTCCGGGCCAGATCAGAGGACACTGGATACCCACTTCCTACATCACTCTCACACCACCACCACCCCACCCCCGGCCCAATCAAATCTATTTAAGTTCAAAATAGCTGAACATGGGAGTGGCACACTTCTTCTCATTACACAAAGCCTTTGAGGTTTTCTAAACCTGGATGACCAATTCTGAAACCTGCCTAATTTTTGACACTTTGCGCTTTTTTTCGTTGAGATCTTAAAATCTTGATCTTGGTGAAAAGACTGGGTTCCATTGGCACCAGCATTAGACATTAGCCTTGGGTTTTACCTGGAGCAGCCGTTCTCAAGGAAAATCCTTCACACTGCTCAGCTTATCTCTGCCCCTCTCTTGCTCAGACAAGAGGGACTAGCAGGGTTGGCCCGCACGAGGCAGCAGGGACGGACGGAGGCCTTTGCCTTCGGCAGGCTTCTGCCTCAGGCTGACGGTATCCCTAGCTTAAGCTGGTACCTGTGACTTTTCACTTTTCTTCCTTCATTGCAGGCCCAGAGCTGCCTCACTAAGCTATACAAGCTAGATAAGATGCAGTTCCGACAAACCATGAGGGACTATGTGAACAGAGACTCTCTCAATAATGTAGTGGACTTCTTGCATGCTTTGCTGGGATTTTGTATGGAGCCGGTCACTGACAGTAAGTAGAGCTGTGCCAAGTTTCAGGAGAGACCTCTATGTGGTGAAGCAGGTAGAGTTTCAGAAGTACCCTGAATATGTGGGGATAGAATTTAGAGGGAAACGTGTGTGTGTGTGTGTGTGTGTGTGTGTGTGTGTGTGTGTGTGTGTGTAATAAAGTATAAATAAGAGAAGCTTGCACATCGTCTTTGATGCTATATTTTGGAGGCTTTGCGATGACAACTTACCTAAGCAAAGGGGATTTGGTAAAGCTGTGGCATCCTCACAGTTAGCCCGTCAAACCATCACTCATGGCACTCCTCTCCCTCCCACACAACTTTCTGTTGCATGACAACTGAGGCAGAAGTCAAGGAACAAGGGAGTATATTCATTAGTTCAACAAATATGAAATGAGTACCTGTTATGTGCCAGGCACAGTACTTGGGAGATTTTTTTCACAAAGTAAAACAGGAAAGAAAAGATACATATAAACATAGTAGTAGTGCAATTTTGATATACTCATATACACCTACACATATATACTGAATTTTCTTTAAAACAGTCAAATGGATATATAGGTAGCCCCACAAACCATTTTATAACTTCATGGCTTTAAGAAAACCCCACCATAGAGACCTGTGGTGTAGGGGGCCAGTGAACACCGATTGCATTCATAATAAACCAAACACCTCCAATGCCACTCGAATGCAAATGCAAAAATGAAATGAAAATGCTGTATGAAGCCTGAGTTGAATAACATGTACATCTTAATTAGAGCCTGGGAAGAAATAACTTCTTAGTATAGCCTTTTATGGTTTGAATGATACATGTATGATAGTTGATTAATTTATAATGAAGCTCTATTGGATGAATTTGGAAGCAGTTTCCCTATTTGTATCCCAGGCTTTATTGTTTGGTGATCCTCTTAAAAAATAGTTGTTCCTTTATAGAGCCCCTAAAATAATGTATATCATCAAAGATGTTTTAAGCTGAGCATATTACAAATTTTAAAAAATAATAAAGTGAGAATTGTAGTCGAGGTACTGCGAGAGAAATTCCTGATTACAAACTATTTTCTGTTTTTTAAGCTATTCGAGATAGAAACTACAAGCATAGACCAAAAGATTTCTTTCTATGATGTAAAATCTAAGGATAATCCCCTGCCAGCTGACACAGACAGTGAGAGGTTGGTGACAAAGGGTATTACTCCAAGGTGACGAATCCCCCAGGGACTCTTGAGAAGTGGCTCACAGTGCGTCAGCCAGCCAAACACAACTGATTGGTTTTGGAGCTACACACACTCTGACCCTACAATCTATAGGTGGCTCACAGTCATTAGGAATCTTCTGCCACGGCTCCGGAATATCTAATGTGTCCCCTATGAAATGCCTGTGGATATGTGAAAAACTGGCATAAAATGCCACCAGAGAGTGACAGCCTCAGTTCACTGGCATTTCCCATTTCAGTGAGTCATAAGGAAGTGGCTCTAAGAGAGGTTATAGGTTTTCATTCTCTGAATGCCTACAGAGTCTGGGAGCAAGAAGCTGCTGGAAGTTCTATGCAGATCGTGGCAGGACTTGGTCTCCTTTTTTTTTTTTTTTTTTTTTTTTTTTGCCAGTGCAAGTGTTTTAACTCCCCCCAACAAGGCCCTTCCCCACCTCTGCTTCCTCCTGCCCCATTCACCTGGTTGGCCCCACCCCTGCTTCTGAATGACTGAAGGATTTCCACTGAGAAGCCAGCATTCCTCACCACCAGAAAGGCTGAATCAAATAAATTCTCTCTCCAATGAGGGATTATTTTTGCTAAGATGTATCAATAGAAACATTCCACAACATGATGAAATATATCCTAGTAAAGACTCTGAGGGAGACTATGAGTTGTTTATCTCCAAGTCTATGTAAAGATGATTAAACCTAGGGGTATCTTTAATCTTTTGTTTCTGCATTTCATGTAGCCCTTCACTAATTCCTGGGTGCCATGTACTTCATTACTTCTTTAGCCTGTGTAGCTTAATGGAAACAGTGCCTTTAATTGGTGCCTTTGCATTCCAGACAAGGCTGGGTTTGGAAATAACTTCACCACGGTGGACAACAAATCCACAGCCCAAAACGTGGAAGGCATCATCGTCAGCGCCATGTTTAAATCCCTTATCACACGCTGCGCTTCAACCACGCATGAATTGCACAGCCCTGAGAATCTGGTGAGAAGTTCACCTCTTCTTCCCACAGGAGTTCTTGGTCTCCACTCTAAGACAAGTTCTCAGCCATGGCCCTGGGAAAGACAAGTTGAAATCTAAAATTCTGCACCTTAAAGTTAAAAATCTCTATTTTCCCAAAGTGACCAGTAATTCATGGTGGAGCCTCAGTAGCACATTTCTCCTTGTTACTCATTAAACTACTTGAAAACTGACATATCTTCCTCCTCCACCTCATGGGTTCAGTGGTGGTTGCTGAGATAGTTGCAAGGTAGTTCAAGTCCTTAAAGAGAAAGAGGTGCTCGAGCATAGTCTATTAGCTCATGAAATATTAAAGAATATTGTACCAACCATTTTTGAAACCACACTTACTGTAAAAATTAATGTAAATATGCTGCTGACATTAGCCTTGTTTTCTTTTATGGAACACCTCAGTTTTTTAGTTACTCCCTCATAAATGACTGTGTTAATTAAACCACTAAACCCACAAGTAGTGTGGGAGAAGAACCAGGCTCTAACAAGTTAAGTGTTTAATTGCTGCCAAGGAGATTGTGGTTTGGGATACAAAAAGTAGACTAAGGCTGATGAATCCATATGAAAGATGAATTCAGTTCTCTCTGGGGAGTAAAAGTACACTTTGCTCTCTTACCAATTTGTTACATGTTGGGACTTCTATGTAGAAATCAGCCTGTCTATACATATTGACAATATCTGCTAATCTACCTAAATCAAGGAAATCATTTAAGCTGTTCTAAACCACTGAGACTATTCACATAACTTGAGATAAACTAAAACCCTAAACCAAAGGGAATTGAATTTTGCTGACTGTCAAAGCCACCTCAGCAAAGTTCTTGGAGTCTGAGAAAAACATGGGCACCATCCATGTGTTTAATTTGGTGACGGCAAGAAGTACTTTGACAAGTTGATTATAATACGTGTGAGCACTTATACATTTTAGTCTGCAAAATCAGGTATAGAAGAAATAACTGTATTTCTTAATTTTATTTAAATCGTCTTGGTTTTGACTTGGAACCCCCATTCCACATTCCACCAGAACAGCTAAAAGTTGAACCCCAATATTTTTGGGTTTCTTTACTTCACAGAGTGGTGCAAAGATCCCAAGTCTTTGGTAGGACCTAGGACCTGAGAAGCTTCATGGGTCTCAACCATCAGTCCATACATATTATTTCACGCACTGCTCTCTGCTGGGTGCTTAGGGGTGGGCACTCTGGTGAATTGGAACCCTTGTTTTGGGGGGGTCTTGTCCCTTCTGGGGGAGCTACCAAAGAGCACAATGAGGGCACAAGATCTTTCTGCCCAGAGGACCAAAAAAACATTCTTTCCGTGTTTTCCTCAGTTACTGTTCCTTCTGATTTTTTAAGGGTCGTGGGCATGATTGTTCCAGTGGTCTTAGGTTTTGAAAACCAAAGATACCAAGGTAAGTATTTCTTAGGCTTCTGTGTCTTGCTTTGCCATGAACCTTTCCTAAGGCAAAGAATGCAGTAACTACCTTCTTGAAGAGAGAGGAGGAAATGCTGAGTGAAAGGGTTAATATCTTAAGAAAAAAAGGTCCTATATATATTTTTAAATGTGGATTCATCAATATATTGGTTTTAATAGCCCTGTATCATCTTTAGTCCATAGTCAAGTTAATGTTCAAATGGGCTTCAACATACACATTTGTTAAATATGTCCAGCAAAATGCACTCTCCTTGAATATCAGGCTCTGTTAGGAGTGTCTAGAGGACTTAGCATATTTTATCACAGTGATGCAGAAAATTTGGAGAGGCCAAAGAGGGACTGAAATCTCTAGTCTAAACAAACTTCTGATTGCCTTTTTTTGGCAGGCATCTCTTCAGAAGTCATAATAGAGAAAATTAAAGCTTGGGAATCCAGTGGTTTGAAGTGTAAATTGATGTCTTTCTAATGATACAGCCAACTTTCTGAATATGAAGCATGGTAACCAGCCTTTTTCATACTAAGGATGACAGGCAAGGTTCTTGGTAATGTTGCTAGGAACAATGGACAGACTGGGTACCATCCATTTCATTGTAGTAAAATGTCTTCCTTTTATGATTCTAATGCTGATCTAAGCCTAAGGAATTAATTTCTCCCTCTCTTCCTGTGAAAACTGTTTAATCACACAACTTTCCCCAAACTTTCCTTCTTGCATCCAAACAGGGGCTGTATTGTGACATCCGTCAGCTGGTCCAATTCATCAAAGAGGCTCATGGGAATGTCTTCAGGAGAGTGGCCCTCAGTGCTTTGCTTGACAGTGCTGAGAAGTTGGCACCAGGGAAAAAGGTGGAGGAGAATGAGTCAGAATCTAAGACTCCAGGCAGTAAAAGGTTAGAAACTTGAGCTATAAATATTAGTGTGGCCTTATGTCAGTGGAGTGTAATTTGTTGCAATGTCCATGTGGTTCACAGGATGGTGTGTAACTCTAGTGCAGGGCTGGAGGAACTGTCTCGTATAAATGGTATCACTGGAGACGTAGCAAAAGATGTGTTTACTGTCAAACCAATCCTGCCTCTCTATAAATCAAAGCGCAGTTCATCTCAGGCTTGCATGCAGTTGACCTTTACTTCATAGCTCTCAACAATATGGTGAAATGCTATCTGTGTTAGTCTTTTCCATAAATAATTTACATTTTTGTCCAGAGAGGAAAAGCAATTATTGATACCATATCCTCCTGTTCAGTAAGTAATATTTTAAACGTGGCAAAATACAAATTGCTGAGAAGTGCCCTATTGTTTTTCCTTCTAGTAAATATAAATTTATTGTATGCCTATCCTTTAATTATGCCACTTAACAAGATTAAAGGAAACTCCTAAATTTAAAATTCTGTTTGTAGTTAATGACTCTGCATTGATGGTGGTATTCTTAGACAATAAGGCAGCTAGGTCATGAATCAAATGGTAGGAAATAAATTTCATACAGTATAGACTCATGATGACATAGGGTTTGCAAGCAATATATGTTGTCTATAACGGAGTGTTTTGCTTTATGAAGTACATGAGGTATTGAGGAGTGCTGTCCTGCTCTGTTTGATTGGTGGACTGCACCATTTGCATAGGTCAGAGGCAGGAAGCATTGTGGATAAAGGCCAGGTGTCCTCTGCACCTGAGGAATGTCGCAGCTTCATGTCTGGTCGCCCCTCACAGACTCCAGAGCAGTAAGTAACATTGATTTTTCTCTCCAGTGCAGTGGGCTGAGCACTTCCCACTGTAAGAAATTCAATTTTCCCAACTGCTGTTTGTTTGCTTGTCATTATCTTTGAACTTTGCCTTGCTTCTGCCCTTTACTTTTCATTCCCAAAGCCACTAATCTCCACAGACCCAAATCATAAATAACCAACCTCATGCCTATGGGAAGCTTCCTTAACAACATTTCCCATTTCCAATTTCTACTCCACTTCTGCTTTTCGTGCACACTCCTGCAGATAAATCATGAAAACTAGCATGTGTATCGGGTGGGGTGGAGGTGTGATCTACTTTATTGCTTAAAATCACTTATAACTTTTTTTATGTAAATGTATTAATGGCTGTCAATGTGCTCGATGAGGCTTTTTCAAAAATAAGTAAGATAAACTTCTCTTGTGCTCTGATTTAGTTAAAACATAGACTCTACTCCATTTCAGTTTGGTCTTCTCCTGAGATCCATTCCAGTGTTCCCTGAAATCAATCATTTTATCTCCACTTTTTATAATGGCAAAGTCAAAAGCATCTTAAAATTAGATGCTTAAAGATAAAGCATTAAGATTAATGCTTAAAATTAAAATTCTCTCCAGAAAATGAGAGAATTACTATAGACACTAAACATACAGTCTAGTTCTAGGCAAGGCTCGTTTGTCTTCATTCTTCTTTTGAGAACTACTTACTCACAAGTGGTGTGATCAGTATTTAAAATAGGAACATCATTTAAGATACACCATTTTACTTCCCCAAACCCTGGTTTACTATGAAACAATTACCTTTCCAGAAATTCTGCAGGTTTTATGGTATACCATAATACATAGTATATAGTCAAGGAAATCACCGTCATCAAATAGGACCATGTAATTAACAACAAGCAAGGAAAACCTTCAAAGAACAAAAGCCTACATAGTTTTTATGGCCCTTCAAAATCTTAGAGACTGTCTCTAAGTGCCTGGAGAAAAGTAAAGATAAGATAAATCAACTCTATGAGTCTAGGGACCATGTGCGTTTTTGCTTACCATTATAGCCCCAATGCTTAAGACTTGGCCCCCATAGTAAACACTTAATATCTATTTCAGAAATGAATGAATGAATAACAAGCAATCAATGAAAGGACAGAATTGTGAACTTACCATTAAGTTTTTGTTTCCTTTAACTTCCTTTCTTAAATGTGAGGTTTAAGGAAGTCTTTAAGGACATAGTAAAAAGTCAAACATAAGCTCTAAGGGAAAAAAATTAATGTAAAGGGCAAAGTTCTGTAGCTGAATAGCCACAAGACTAGTTAAAGTCTTTACATACAGAGCATGAGCAGAAAAGGGGGAGAGGGCTTTTTTCCCCCACAGTAGCACTAGCAACTATTAAGCAAATATGGTCAATGAGAATGATCTAATAAGTAAACCGTATTTTAAAAATAAAACCATCTATCTTCATAGGTGATTTCATTTTCTAGATGGCAATATATTTTCTTTCTCCAGTGTTCTGTAAACACTGTCTGATATCCCAGCATTTAGCATGGGTCTGTTCTTTCCCCTTGAATAAAGATACATGTTTTAATATGCTTCTGCATAAAAGTTTCCATTTGAAGGGATGTCATGGAATGTTAAATATAGAGCTTTTCCCTGCTCTGAGTGGGCACAGGAGATGAGCATGTCAAATACCCTGTTTAGCACTGGAGAAAGGTAGGTGGACGATCCTGGTTCCTCCTTTATCCTCTCTTTCTCCCGCCCTTCTCTCCCCTTCTGGCCCTTCTCTTCTTCTTCCTCCTTAAATAAAAGTCACACTAACTAAATTTAAAAGCAGTGTCATATTCTCATTTCTCTGAAACTCATTATCAATACACACCCATTGGACAAAGATGATGTAGCATTTTATTGAGATGTTGTCCCACCCAAACCATGTGGTCATATCATCGTTGTGTCCCACGTTCCCTAAAGGTAAGAAACTCACAAATTCATACCATATATGATAAACAGAATGTCCTGGTTTGAAATAAAAATAAAATTTAGTTAGTACTCTAATGAAATTTTGAGAGATAAAATCTGAACCTCCATATGAATATCTCCAAAAAATGATTGCCTTACCCAGTACTGTTGAATTTTGGGTAGATTCTGGATTCAATCCCAAAGCTTGTAGGCAAATCATTACCTAAAATTTCATAAACGAATTTCATCACATATTACTGAGTATTTTCTGTGACCTTTCTTTCCAACTTTCTAAAGTAAGATATGTTGCTGAAGTTGACAAATGTAGCAAAACAGAAAAGCAAAGAAAAATCATTTTAAAATTGAAATACCATCAACTAGAGATAACCACTGTAAACTTTTGGTGTGCTGGGTACATTTTTGAGCATGTGTACATGCAAGCTCACAGACACATGCTCACATGTGTACTTTGTTTATTTAACATGGTGTTATTCTATTTCATCCATTGATTCTAAGCCTTCTAACTTTTCAATATATCTTCAACATTTCCCATATCAATCATCTTCTAAAATAGGATTTTAATGACTACAGAATATGCCATCAGATAGAAGTTCTATAATTTAATTGTTTCTCTAGAGTTTAAAATTAGATTGCTTCCAGTTTTCAGTGTTGACCTATAATACCTCAGCGAGCATTTGATCATCTTGTATCTACATGTTAGTATATTTTCCAGTCATTTCCTTGGGATAACTGTCTGGAAATTGAATTTCTCTGTCATGGCTATAGATATTGGTTTTGGATAACACATTACTAAATTACCTTCCAGAAAGGTTGAATCTTTCTATCTCATCACTGGCAGGATGATGGTAACCAATTGCTTTCTTTTTTCCCCTCTTAATCTTTACCAATTTAATGAGTGAAAATACGGATCTCATTTCAACTGACCTTCCCCCTCCCCCCCAATTCCTAGTGAGATTAACCTCTGCATATGATAGCCACTTGTCTTTTTCCTCTTGTGGAATGTCCTGGTCAAAAACCCCTTTGGATGTGTTCCCATTTGGCTTATTGAGTTGGACTAATGTTTTTTACTTTTAAACCTTACTTAAGCTTCTCTGCCCTGAGAAAGCTAAATAATCAGGCACGATGAAAATAATTTAGTAAACAGTTGTGGGACGATGCACCCCCTGAGTATGGTTGTACTTCACTTATTCATTTATTCAAATATTGTTTGTGAGTTTATTTAGTGCTGAGAATTATACTATGCTGGGGTGGGGGTGGAGAGTGAGATACAGGACTGCACAAGCCTCTGGGAACCTTCAAAAAAAGTGAAATATTTAGACATCATAAATGCTTCTGCTATTATGACTCACACCCACAGATGAGTACCTGCGATAATATTTGGTCTTTTTATTAAAGTTGGGAAAAAAAATGATCACCTCTACTTGACAGCTGAGACATGACTGTTTTCAGGAAGACTTCAGAGTCAACTTTGGCCTCACTCCTTCTGCTCCCCCTCTGACTCATCCTAAATCCAAGCCCATCCAAGATCATCCTGCATGAATTGTGTAAATGTCATTGGCGGGAAGTTGAAAGAAATTTAAGGAATTTCCCATGTGTTGTCAGACATTTAACTCTACCCTCTGCTTGCTTTCAGTGATGAACAAATGCAAGGGGGCAACCTGGGGCGGAAGGATTTCTGGCGCAAGATGTTCAAATCCCAGAGTGCAGCAAGTGACACCAGCAGCCAGTCTGAGCAGGATACTTCAGAATGCACCACTGCCCATTCAGGAACCACCTCTGACCGTCGCACCCGCTCACGATCCCGCAGAATTTCCCTCCGGAAGAAACTTAAACTCCCCATAGGTAAAAGTATGTCTGTATTTATTTATGGATTCTCTTATTCCCTACCATGTCCTCAAATCAACCCATAATCAAAACAAAGTGATGCATGGTAGGGTAGAGAAGGGGAAAGCCTTCAAGTCACAAGGCTTAATCTTGCTCATTCATTCATTCATCTTTTTTCAGCAGGTATTTCTCAAACTCCTACTATGTGCATTTATTGTGTGCAAACACAATGATGCTAAGCATCAGGGATTAAATGATGATCAAAATTACGCAGTGCCCAACTTTACTGAACTTAAAATTTATTAGGGGTGACAGTCACTAAAGCAGATAATCCTACAACTAAGTGTGGTTGCAAACTGTGAATTTTATTAAGGAAATATATGTTGTGCCATGAAAGCATGCAATGAGGTCTGACCTAAATGGGGAGGAGGAGGCAGAGATCAGAGAAGGCTTCCTGGAGGAAGTGAGATTAAGATCTTGAGGATACTAAGGGGAAGGAAGAAGGAGAGCTCTCTAAATGGTAGCTCTCTAAATATAATTTGTAAAAGTATTAGGAGGGAAGGAGGTGGAAGAACTGAGATGAAGAGAAGAGTGTGTGCACGACTACGACAGAGCAATGGGGACTTAAGCTTGTGAACCTTGCAGGTAAGGTTGGCTCTTCATCCTACAGCCCTACAGAGCCCAGGTGGGATGTTGAGCAAGCAGGTTAGCTTTTTCTAAAAGATCACTGCATGGACAACATACTGGAGGGAGCACAAGTGGTTAAGTGAGACCAGATAGAAAGCTGTCTAGTAGTCCGGGCATAAGTAACGGAAACTTGGACTGGGTGGTGACCATGTACAGGGAAGTAGACAGATTCGAGAAATACTTAGGTGGTAAAATCAACAGGACTTATTGGAAGATATGTGAAGTGTCAAGGAGAACAGGATGGATTATGGTTTTATTCACCAAAGAGGCCCAAATTCTTTTTGTACTGGTCTTATTCAGTCTTGTCATTTTACAATCCAACACTGAAGATTCAAATCATGTACATTTTGAAAACCATTTGTTTTCACTTCAATTTACATCAAGCCGTATAACTTTCATTGCTTGTTGAGCACATGCTGAGATTTCTGTTTAATTCATTTGGGAGAAAATGCTATACTGGTCTAACTTTTAAAAAATTATTAAATAGGAAACTGGCTGAAGCGGTCCTCCCTCTCGGGCTTAGCAGATGGCGTGGAGGACCTTCTGGACATCAGCTCTGTGGACCGCCTGTCTTTCATCAGGCAAAGCTCCAAGGTAAACAGGACATTGCTTATGTAAAAGAACGTTGGAGTCGCTGATAGAAAAATTTCAGGACCAAGAAATGCTAAACACCTGGAGGAGCCAAATAAGAAAAAGTTGAAGAAACTGTCTTCAAATTGAACAAAGTTTCGAAACTTAAATGAGCAATGAAAACTAAGATATCCAAATAGTAGGCTATTATGGAAAGGAAAAAAAGAGTAACAAAAAATTTACATAAAATTATAGTGCAGATCTAGAGATGTATATAGGTATTATTTCCCAGCTATTTTAATATTTTAACTTTATTTTTATTATTATTTTTAATTCCAGTATAATTAACGGACAGTGTCGTATTGGTTTCAGGTATACAATATAGTCATTCAACAATTCGGTACAGTACCCAGTGCTCATCATGATAAGTGTACTATTAATCCCCATTACTTTTTTCACCCATCCCACCTCCCATTGCCCCTCTAGTAACCACCAGTTTGTTCTGTATAGTTAAGGGTCTGTTATTTTGTTTCTTTTTGTTGTTGTTTTGTTTTTTAAATTCCACGAGTGAAATCATTTGACATTTGTCTTTCTCTGACTGACTTATTTCATGTAGCATTATACCCTCTAGATCCATCCATGTTGTTACAAATGGGTTTCCACTCTCACTACTTTTATTTAACATAGTACTGGAAATCCTAGCCACAGCAATCAGACAAGAAAAAGAAATGAAAGGCATCCAAATTGGTATTTCCCAATTATTTTTAGCTTTTAACATACATGTGAAATTCCTGACATCTCAAGCTCCTACCCAAGGATGTAGTAATTTTCTAATCATCCTCTTTATGTATTAAAACACACACACACACACACACACACTTCATCCTCTTTCTGTTACTTTTGTGACTATCTGAACTATTCTCCCTATTGAAAAGGATAAAGAAATTCAGGATGATTTTTCCCACTAAGTGCTTCTTCAGAATACTGTTAAGCATTGTAGCAGCATACTATTTGGAAAAGGTAATGATTCTCAGTGAAATCCATTTCCTACAAGAGCCTTTCCTATGCGTGGTCCATGTCCTGGTCACTATAATTTCCAGCATATGGTAAGAGTTATATTTCTTTATATCCAAATCATTTGCTTATATTCTTTCTGCTTTGAATCTTACTAAAAGCAGTTTTCTTCTATCCGTTTTAATAGTAATATTTTGAAATTATAAAGAGACTATATCAACCTTATGACATTTAGAAAATATAATTCCTCCTTCACATCCTTTTTACTAAAAAATTGGCCAAATATTGAGAGTATGTGAGGCCCATAGCTTCCCTACTTGCTGAAAATTTTAAGTATTCTTGGCCTAAGAGCAAGATCAAGAGCACATTTAAATTCTTAGGAAAAAAAACCAAACATGTTATTTCACTTTAATTATAGGGTACTTTATGAATTAATTTATACTGGTTTTTTTTTTTCATAAAGATTTGAAGTCTTCTATTTGGCTGTCTTTCAGTTTGGTCTCATTCTCAACTGTGGTGTTTTTTGTAAAGAATGAATATGGCTTGCTGTTCATGAATTTGAGTTTGGATTTTATCAGAATTAAACTCTAAGAACATCTCATTAGTCACTGAATTATTTTAATGGTGCCTGATTATTTACTTTCAATCTATGACTGGATTCTCTTTCAAATTAGTTATAAGTCATGTCTTTTTTGGTACATAGGAATAAGCCATACTGACTGACTGACCATATGTGGCAGTCAGAACAACTAAAGTAATCTTCATATTCTAAATAACTTATTTTTCAAGGCAAGTGTTAGTATAAACCAAAGAATTGTCTTTTTTTCCTCAGGTCAAATTTACCAGTGCAGTGAAGCTTTCTGAAGGTGGGCCAGGGAGTGGAATGGAAAACGGAAGAGATGAAGAGGAGAATTTCTTCAAGCGTCTCGGTAAATGTCATGCAGCCTAAGAATTACATCCAATTTTCATCACACAGAACAAAATTTGATTGGATAAAATGATCCATTTTCTATTTTCATTGATTTCCTATTCATTTCTTTCTCATGTGTGTATTGTACTACTATATATAGCTTCTCAATTTTTATGAATTTGGTTCAACAGACATTTATGGAAGCCCTACTGTATTCCTCATTCCATAGTGGACATTAGGTTTACAAAGGAGAGTAAAAGACAGCCTTTTCTTCAGCTCTCTGTCCTTTATTAAAATCTAAGATCTTTAAAGAACCTTCAGATTTCCATCTACCTATCTACTTAGGAATTCTGCACATTATATCCCTGAGAGGTGGACAGCCACCCTCTGAACACTTCCACCAAAGGGGAGTCTATTACTTCACAAAGCAACCTGTTCCAGAACTAGACAGTTTTAATTATTAGAAGGTCTTTCCTTATATCCTGAAAATATATTCATCCATAAATTTGATTCAGTGGTCCCAGTTATGATATCTGTGGCTACACACACACACATAATGCTAATTTTGCCTTTTATCTATTTCACATTCTCTCTTTTGATCTCACTTCTGCTGGTTATACTGTTTTTTTTTTCATAAAGATTCGAAATCTTCTATTATTGATTCCTAGTTTTTCCCCTTACATGGAAGAGTCTCTAGACCCATCACCATCCTGATTCCATTTTACTATGTATTCTAACTAGATGATATACTTTACAAAATGTGGAGCTTCAGATGGAATGCAATACATCATTTAATCAGTGTGATAAATAGTGTAACTATTAAGCTCCAGGGGTATAGCAAGTGTATGAACATAATTTAAGGTTGCATTATGAAGTTTTACATCCCATAGTTGGCTTGTACTGAATTTAGATTAACTTTTGCTAGCTCACCTCCACATGAATGAATATCATGCTATATTTTGGTATAGCCATTATTAATTCTTCATCTCAAAATAAATAAAATGTATTGTTTCATTAACTTGGGAGATGGTTAAGTCACGTGCCCAGGAAAGAAATTAAGAGACAGAACATAAACCAAGTTGAATTTGGAATCTTTTCTTCTTTGCAATTGTGCTCTAAGGATTCATCTGCAGAGACATACACATTCCCTGTTTTCATCCAAACTGTTGCTATTATTACTGACCAGGACAAATACAAAGGTATAACTCTTATGACACTTCTAGTTGACCTTTATTAATTAACAATTTGTGGGTATGCTTTTTCAGCCAACAATATACTTAATTTAAGAGCAATTAACAAAGATTTCTCATTTCATTATAAAAACATCAGATTTTACCAAAAAATATCTCATGTCCTTATAAATCTAAAGGAAATATACAGCTTAGTTCAATACAGTGTATTCTTCATGAAACCATAGTGATTCCTATGATTACTTCTGGTTTTTAAAAAAGTTCCTGTTTACATAATCTCTTACAGAATTTGGCTAGGGCATACATCAAACTTCTTAGTCTGTGGCTTCAAGAATCTTCCTAACAACCAGGACCTTTGTCATTTTCAGTCCTTTTGGAATCTTTTCACTCCTCATGATATTTCACAGAAGATACACCTAGCATTCAGAACCATCAGTATTATAAGTAGATTTTTGTGGTCTTTTTTGTTTGTTTGCTGTTTTTTGTTTTGAGAATGAAGTATGAAGATAAAGAGTGTTCTCCAGGTATGTGCCGTGTTAGTTGAATGTCATTTGACTAGTACTGTGATTACCTCTGTAAGTTCTTTCTGTGCACTGGAGTGTAATTTCATGGAACTGAGAATTAACTTAGGGTAGGGGCTCTCACATTTGATGCCTCCTTAATGAAACTTTTCTGTACTTACACGTTTGTGAATCTTTCTCATTGGTGGAAAGGATGAAAGCATAATTGAGTTGTTTACCTTCCTTCTGATTCCCTTACATCCCCTTCTTCAAGGAGTAGGCCAGTATCTTTAGTCTAGTTCCAAACATGTTATCATTAGCATTCTCATAAACCTTTTTTATTCTAGATTTTTTTACCACTATTCCTGCATATTTCAGCCATTGTTTTACATATTCTTTATATTTCATTCACAAATAGACTTGATATAGAACCTTCATAGAGTCTGATTCTGGGATCAGTTTGTGTCAGTAAAACCTGAAATAATACAGTCTCTTTCTGTGTATCCAGAAGACAAAACTATAAAATCTAAGACTGATATCTAGAATTTCATGTGCTTTTGACTGGCAAGAGAAGATAGCTTGCATATCACCATCATTCTTTGCCCATGTTCTCTGGTTTATTAAAAATTTTGAAAGGTATTTTATGAGATAGTTCCTTTGAAATCTCTTGCAGTAGCTAGGTATCCTCAGCTATTCTAAAAAACTAAAAAAACCATTATCTTAGTACATTGTAATTTACAACGACTGCCTTTGGCCATGTGAACACCTCTATCTCTGGGACTGCTTTGCCTTTTCTCCCTCTGTCCCACTCTCCCTCCTCCCTCCCTTCCTCTCTCCTTCTCTCTCTCCATCTCTTTCCCTCTCTCTCCCCGTTTCTCTGTCTCTCTCTCTCTCGCTCCAACCCGTATGTATAAATGATTCCTGTGTATCCATTATAGATGTATTGTCCTTTTCTTCCTCAATTATTTTAATTAAATATTTCTCTGTCTGGAAAACAAACATCAAGCATTCTTACCTTCAATATAAATGTAGTACTCAAACTTCACTTAGTTAAGATCAAATGCAACAACCAATAGAATTTCTTTAAAATCTAAAAAATTGTTCAACAAATGAAAAATACATCTGCTGAACATTTAACAGAACTGTAATTGCATTCGTAATCAGCTGTCTTTTTCTTTTATGTTTTTATATTCACTAAGAATATTTCATTTTAGAAATAGTATTATCTTTGAGGGAAGATATTTTATTAAACCAGTGGTTTTTTTTAGTCAATAAAATTTACTGAATATTTTCTGTGTGCTCAATTCTGCCATAAATTCCATGGGAAATGTTGCTTAAAGAAATACTGTATTTTGAAATATCCCTTTTTAAATTTAACAGATTATAAAAACTGTGTTCTATATAAATTTATAAATGATACCCCAATAAATTTAATTTAAAAATAGCAAATAAAATGTACTGAGACTAAAAAATTAATCCTTATGTCCAAGGAAACCAAGAGGCATCCTTATATCCTAGTAAGTTTATATAAAAGATGAATAGGAGGTGCATTTTACAACCAAATTACTTTTCAACATTTCTTTTAGTAGTACAATATGGAATGCCAACTGGGAACAATTTTACAATCAGTTTGTAACATGTACAATGTTGATTTATTTCTTATGGTAAGTTTTTCTGACCTAATCTTTACTTTCAGCATGTACAAAACTCTGACCTCCTTCACCATAAACAATTGGATATTCTGGGGATGCAGTGTAGCATAGTGGTAAGAAGGCAGGCTGTGGTCATCAGGTCTGGATCTGAATCCTGACTTCATAAGTTTCTATTGCATGAACTTGAACTGGGCTAGTTAACCTGTCCCCTCTTTCTGTATCTCTCTATGTTCTTACTGCTCTGTTCCCTCTCATTCACTTTTTTTTAAAAATTATTTATTTATTTGACAGAGAGAGATAGCAAGAGCATGAACACAAGCAGGGGGAATGGGAGAGGGAGAAGCAAGCTTCCTGCTGAGCAGAGAGCCTGATGTGGGGCTTGATCCCAGGACCCTGGGATCATGACCTGAGCCAAAGGCAGATGCTTAACGACTGAGCCACCCAGGCACCCCATTATTCACTTTTTTTAATCATCTTTAAAGATTAATCTTATAAGGCTGTTACAAAAAACTAATTATAAAATATTTCATACAATATTTAGCACATACTAAGTGCTCAAAAATGGGAGCAAATACATGGTTATCCATTAATGTTATATAGATACAATGGAAATTTTCCATTATCAATAGCTTTTACTTACAAGCATGAATCTTATGTCTGAGATCATAGGATTCTACTGATCTTCATACCTGTAATAAATATCCATAATTCTGTGAAGCAAAGAATATAGGTTCTTCTTGACAAAGATTGTTTTGATCACTTCTCTTTTCATTATTTTACTTAGACTCCTTAGCCATACTGTTTCTGAAGTTCTTTTGATCAAAATGGAACTTCTGGGAATATTAAATAGCTTCCTTTAGAATTCATTATCTTGTCAAACAAATATTAAGAAAAATGATGAAAAGCTTATTCTTAATGCATCTTTCAATAAGCTGATGGCAACTGTCCTTAATAAATTAGTTAAGTAAGAATAAGTTTGTTGGGGCACCTGGGTGGCTCAGTCAGTTAAGCCTCTGCCTTTGGCTCAGGTCATGATCTCAGGGTCGTGGGATCGAGCCCCCCATCAGGCTCCCTGTTCAGTGGAGATTCTGCTTCTCCCTCTGCCTCCTCCCCCTCACTCATGCTCGCTCTCTCTCTGTCTTGCAAATAAGTAAAAACTTTTTAAAAAAGAATGTATTGTAAATCTTAATTATTGTATTACTGTAACAAATAATAAAACATCTGGATTCACTAAAAAGAAAAATATTTGGGGTCTATCTTAAATTCAAATTTTAAGGGACTACTACGATTATAATGTCTTTTAACCATTGAGATTTCCTCTGATATGTGTAACTTAAAGGGCTATATATAATTGATTAATAAAGTGACATATAGGTAGGAGAAATCACAGGAAGTTACTGGTTCTGGTAGTTTTGATAATGCCCAGTGAATAAACAGAGTAACATTTTGAAAGGCAGCTGTCTAGAAACAAGGCTGTCTAGGAAGTATTTGTTCCTAATCTGTAGCTTTTAGCTATACACCATTTGTGTCATTTGAGATTCTGTCTTCTAAATTTTTCCGCCATCAGATTCTTTGTGTGCTACTTCCTTTTGCAGTTGATACAAAATATGCCACACTAATTGGAAAACAAAAATACTGAAGGTGTTGAATGTGGAATTTTTAATGTGGAACATTTGCATCTGAAAAGGAAATATACCCATAAGGAATGAAATATGGAAAATTTTAATAATATTTTTAAGATTTTATTTATTTATTTGAAAGAGAGTGAGCAAGAGAGAGAGAGAAGGTGCAGGGGGAGTGCAGGGGGAGAAGGAGAAGCAGACTCCCCACTGAGTGGGCAGCCCAACCTGGGGCTTGATCACCGGATCCCAGGATCATGACCTGAGCCAAAGGCAGACACTTAACTGACTGACCCACCCAGGTGTCCCAATGATATTTTAATTATATTATGAGGCATTTTTTGTACTTATAAAAATTTTCAAACATAGACAAAAAGTAAAAAGAATGGTCTAACGGATCCCGAATATCCATCACCCATTTGCAATAATGATCAAAATTTCCATAATTGTTTCATCTGTCATTTATGCTTTTATGCTTTTTAAATGTTTTTAAAACAAATCCCAGACATATATACATGTGCCTTTGTGCTGAGACAGCAGGTAGGAAAGTAGGGTAATGGGTGGAAGCAATCAGCGTATTCATAACAGAAGATATGGGAAAGTCATCTGTGACTTCTCAGTGAGAACCAGGAGTTGGTAACCACAAATGAATGGTTTGAGCAAAAATTAAAGCAAGCTCTAAGTCAGTGATTCTCATCCTAGGGGTATTTTCTTAGGTGTCAGAGGTACATTTCAGAATCATGAGAAGGGGTTTGAGTAGGGTTTTAAAAACAACATTCAACGTAATACCCTCAAATAAGAAACAAATTTTAAATATATATTAGAAGCTATAGAAAAGTCAGGAGATATTTAGGCTTTTGAAAATGTACCAAGGTATAAAAATGATGAAAAACAATGCTTTGTATCATTTTTTTCTTAATGTGTGATCCTTAGATCCTTTCTGCATCAATAAATCACAGGGAATGTTTGTTAAAACATCCATAGTCCCCAGACATGGAATCAAAATCTCTAGTGATGAGACTTGACATTCTGTGTTTAATAAGCTCTAGGCTGATTCTTATTCATTGGCAGCGTAACTATGGAAAAATAAGGGTGTGGAGGGATCAGTGGTTCCCAAGTCTCTGACCACAGTGCTGGGTAAAGCTGGCTGCATCATTACTTTCTGGGAGGTTTGCAAAGCACAAATTCTTATACTCCACTTTTAAAAATTCTGATTCTGAAAGTCTGGATGAAATTCAGGAACTTCCTAGGTAATTCTAACATATAGCCAAGTTTGGAAATCCTGGAATTGAATGACCAAATTCTAAGCTTCTTTACAACTCCAATAGTCAATGATTCTTTGTATTGTAACTGAGATATAAAGTTACTGGCCTTGATATCAATTTATGTAACAGATATGAAATTGTAAAATGATTCCATCTTTAATAAAAATAGAAATTAGTTGTTGATTACAGGAAGAATCATTTTAAATATACTAAGAGCTCTTGCCAGTATTAAAGAAGAGACCTGGTAGCAAAATGACCAGATCCTCTATTTAAGTATTTATGTAAAATTCTACATTTGCATATGCCATGTGTCACCAGATTCCCAAAGTCATGGTGTGTCTAAATCAGGCATTAGGATGGAAAGGAAGGAGGTGGAGTCAGGGAGAAAGTTTTCAGGCCAACACTACAGAAAACATGTTGTTATAACTTTGAAGCTCTTTTTCAATCTGTGACCAATTATACTGTGTTTCTTTTATTCCTCCACCATGGGAAAAAACCTACAGGTTGCCACAGTTTTGATGACCATCTGTCTTCCAACCAAGATGGTGGAAAAAGCAAAAACGTGGTGAATCTTGGAGCAATCCGACAAGGCATGAAGCGCTTTCAATTTCTGTTAAACTGCTGTGAGCCAGGGACAATTCCTGATGCATCCATCCTGGCAGCTGCATTGGATCTTGTAAGTTGTTGGAAAAATTTGTCCACTCTGTCTCCCATTACAATTAATACTGCTAATGGAGGAAAGCGTGAATCCCTAATCCTAACCCTATCTGTGGAGTTACGGGTTTTTTTTTTTAATTCATGCTTTATAGTTTTCAGAATATGGGTCTTTCAACTCCTTGGTTAAATTTATTACTAGGTATTTTATTATTTTTGGTGCAATTATAAATGGGATTTTTTCTTGGTTTCTCTTTCTACTTCATTATTAGTGCATTTTCAGTCTGCAATGCAACAGATTTCTGTATATTAATTCTGTATCCTGTGACTTTACTGAATTCATTTATCAGATCTAGTAGGTTTTTGGTGGAGTCTTCAGGGTTTTCTACATACAGTATCATGTCATCTGCAAATAGTTTAAGCTTTACTTCTGTCTTACAAATTTGGATGCCTTCTATTTATTTTTCTTGTCTGATTGCTATGGCTAGGACTTCCAATACTGTGTTGAATAAAAGTGATGACAGTGGACATCTTTGTCTTCTTCCTAATCTTAGAGGAAAAACTCTCAGTTTTTCACCATTGAGTGTGATGTTAGATGTGGGTTTTTCATATAGGGCCTTTATTATGTTGAGGAATGTTTCCACTAAATCTACTTTGTTGAGAGTTTTATTTTTTTTTTATCATGAATGGACGTTGTACTTTGCCAAATGCCTTTCCTGCATTTATTGAGATGATTATAGGGTTTTGTGGGGTTATGTTTTATGTTTGTTTTTCTCAGCATTAATGGTAAAAGGAGGAAGAAAGGTGGTGAGGTGAAAGAAGAAAAAGGAAAAAATTAATAAATATGCACTGGGAAGTAGACTGTATAGCATCATGATTAAAAGGATGGGAGGGCTCTGGAATCAGACTACCTGGGTTAAAATGGCTCTGACATTTATTAGCTGAACCCCTCTGTAAAATGAAAGTAGGAGTAGTAATAATAATCCTCTGGCTAAGTGTGAGAATTAATGACAAATTACATGGAAACCCCACATCAGAGGGCCTGAAATAAGGTAACTGCTCAATAAAGTAGGCCATTATTATTATTTTGTTATTATTAGTTTTATGTCTGTCATGTATTAGTACTTAAACATCTCTGAGTCTTGGTTTAATTATCAATTGGAGGAAAGATATAAAGAAAGGATCATTTGAGGTTAATTGTACAAAAGCATTATATGATGTTATACATGTAAAGGATTAAAGAATATAAAGTAAATCTAGTTTAAAAAGTGTTTCTGTCAGGCAGACTGTTTTGAACTTAGTGTCTTAGTTTCCTTTATTTATCTCTGGTTTAATAAACTCTTCCTACACTGTATAAATACTGGATACAAAATACCGGGTAAACATCAAGAATAAAAGTATTTTATTTTCTCTTTTAAAAAAATAAAAACTAAAATAGACTTTTTTTACAACAAAAAACTTTAAGCCTGCCTATAAATGATCCTTTTTCCAGATTTTATAGCCATAAATAAGTGACCATTAACCACCCATATTTTACCTTGGAAAATCAACCAAATCTGATAATGTAATTTACATTTTTCTGTGACATTTGCAGGTTTTGCTCTCAGGACAGTGACCAGCAAGTTATGTGGTTTCTCTTAAGCCTGAAATAGAAACACCACTGTAATCACCCAAAATAATGACTTGTTGTATAAGATTTTTCAGTCAGTTTCCCATTCCTGGATATTGGCCTTTGTGAATGTTTGTAAATTCCAAAATGTTCAGTGTGTATTGATTTATGCTGTCGTGACTGTAAAATGTGGGGAATTATGAGCCTCCAGGAGAGCTGAGGCTGGTGGCAATTAAGCAAAGAACAAATGCCTGTCTAAAGCAAGAGAGTTTGACAAGGCAAGGAGCTAATCCTTTGTTTTTTAAGTGGGAGAATGGTAACTAGCCTGTCCCTCCTTTGAGTTATGCAATGATTCTTTATAATCACTATTGACCTATTCCAAAAGGAGCAGATTAAAATAAATAAATAAATGTAACAAATTCATAAGAAAAGAACGATTGAATATTTAAATAATGGGTAAGTACATGAACAACCAGTTCATCAAAAATACTTATACGCAATAAAGTATGCCCCATCCTATTTGCACTTGAGAAATGCTCATTAACATGTCCATAAATTCCTATATTATAACTATCAAATTTGTAATGATTAGAAACTGTTGACAGGTATAAATATCAGACACCACTACATGGTGTTGGTTAGTGGTGGAAGCAACAGGATTTGATTAGAGGATAGGAAGTCAGAATAACGGGGTAATAGTGGGAGGGCAGTAATGGTGAATAGAGCAATCCTTGGCCCCGCCCTGCATAGTAAGTAATTTTAGAATGGATGTAGTCACAGAGGAGGGGCAATCTCTACGTATTAATTATACCAAATGACTAGGTGATGGAATTTGGAGTCAGTGTAGCCTAAAAGATACCCATCATATAATTAATTAATTAATTAATTAACCCAACCAATATCTATTGAGATTTTCCCATGTGCCAGCTATTAATAGGTGCAACAAAACTCAAATTGTTTTGAACCTTTCCTTATAAAGATTAGATTTGCACAGTGATCTATTTTACAGACTTCTTGGTGCACAGCATTCTAAGGTGGATAAATGAATGATTAACATTTATTGTGTACCTATTGTTTCCAAAGGAAAAACAATTGAAGCTCAGAAAGACCAACTAATAGGCCAGGCTACACTGCCAGCAAAGGATAGAGCCAGATTAGACCTCCATCTGGCTTCAAAGACCCTATATTGAGTACTCCACCATATTGACTGTCTCATTAAAATATTATATGAAATCACTAAAACGTGCAAAAATATAAATTCTGTATTTTATGTATGATAATTTAAATATAAGTAAGAAAGTGAAAATGACAGAAGTTAGTTGAACAGTTATTAAATTCACAGTAAAATTGTGCATTAGCACTTTATAGGTGGCTTAAACTGTAATGTTCCAGAGGTACTGTCGCGTCCACTTTTGTCCCAAATCCTCATAGCTATTTTGGAAGATTTTAAGACAAAGCAGGCTATCAATTTCTCAAGCAACTGCCTAACAAGATTAAGGAAAATGTTAACAAGTCATATTACCTCAACTTGTTGAAAAATTGGTAGAAAGTTATAGGCACAGCTGGCCATACACATTGGAGAATAATGGCATGATGACGTTTGGACAACTATTAGTCAAATAAACACCTGATGACAGAGATAACAGATTGTCCTTTACATACTGGAAAAGTCTAGGTAGGCCCCATACTCTTTTAGAGGTACTGAGCTGAAATCTGCACATAAATATATATCATACAGTGAACATTATTGAGCAGCAGCATTTAAACATTTCCATATAACAAAACCCCAAGAGCTGAGATGATTTTGCTCAAGGTCATATATGCCAGTCAGTGCTAAAACTGGGTTCAGAGCAGAATCTTCAGAATCCATTCAGGATTCTTGTAGCAGTAGCATATGCTTTCTCTGTAAGAAAAAAATACATACGTATAGATGAAATATATGTATTTTATATTGTATTTTTTATTTAAATGAGAATGAGTATCCCTTATACATTGAAAATACACTTTGATGAATATGGTCTGCAGAATAAAGAAGATTATAAATGATTTTTAATGTCCAAAAGCATTTGGATCTATTAAAAAGTTTACTTAACACATGAATACATGATGAATTCATAACCGGAAAATATAGATTTTCGACTTTAAAGATTCACACCACATATTCACTCTCTAAACCAGTGATTCTTAACATTTTAGGGACATAGACTCTTTTAGAATTGGATGAAAGCTCTGGAAATTTTTCCAAGAGAAGTGCACTTATAGACAAAATTTAACATATATCAGAAGGTTCACGGACTCCCCCAAAACCCATCCATGAAACCAAAGATGTTAAAAGCTCAATCTCAGTTAATGGCAAAATGATTTTCTGGCAAAATGAGACTCCTTAGTCAAGTAGTTAGGGAATGATTACTTTTATTAACATGTATTGATGATATAAAAACAGATAAAAATAATTGCTCCCTACATGGAATATTTAGGATTTATGTAAGATGTGTGTACATGGGAGAAATGAGAGGCTTGTCACAGAGAAAGCAAATGAAGATTTGAAAAATAATCCCAACAGAACAAATTAATACTTGTTTCTGAATGGAGATTGTTTTAAGAGGAATATTGATGAATACTTTAATAATCAAGTCTCTCGGGTGTTGAGATTTCATTCCCCCTCACCAAATGGTTTCATACCTATTTGATTTCCAACAGCTTTTAATGCTTATAGCTTTCAAGGAGCTGAGATTACAGAGGTTTCCAGAAATAAGTATGCTCTGTTCCTAACTATAGCTTGACTCTGACCACTAAGTTGGATTAAATCCCATTGGAAATTTAAAATATATTTTACTTCCCCAAAATAAGGCTATGGCCTGATAGTTACCAAATCACTAGATTCTCCTTTCTTCTTTTCCTTTGGAACCTACTATGGCCCTGCTTGACCTTCTCAATCTTATAAATCTCATGGTAAGAAATAAAATAAAGGGGCTTGATGCTAATAAGCAGTGTCTTTTGAGTGTCTAAGTAAAAAAGCATTTTCTGATCATTGTAGATGTCCAGTGATGAGGTAGCTCCATTGAGAAGTAATGAGATCTTTGTCTCTAGACTGGATTCAATGGGGGCCATTGTACAGGGGCCTCAAAAAGTGGGTGGTTTGTATGATTTCCTTTCATACCTGAGTCTTTGATTCTAGATCAAGGCCAAGGAGTGTGCAGAGGTCAGAAGTCAGAATTCCAGAAGTCAGAATTAGTAAAGTTTTAAAGGAGTGCGGTACGGGAGATTGGGTGGCTCAGTTGGTTAAGCGTCTGTCTCTTGGTTTCGGCTCAGGTCGTGATCTCATGGGTCATGGGATCGAGCCCTGCATTGGGCTCCGTGCTCAGTGGAGAGTCTGCTTGAGGATTCTCTCCCTCTGCCCCTCCCCCTACTTG